GACAAAAAGGATGGCAGTGCTAAAGAAAAGGGTATACCCAGTTCCCAAGATAGATGCAGTGAGGCTCTCACACAAGGTGACTTAAAACAAAAATAACACAACTCAGTTGATCCAGTCGCCACACAATGGGGTTGCTGTATCAACTGTTCCAGCCCCAGGACAGAGCTCCCTGAAAGAGCTTTAGGATCTAGCCCTGTTGGTCAACAGAGTGCTTCGGGATGTAACTGGTACCTGAAGGTTTCTTTACTGTAGTTCCCAAATTCCAATTTAAGCCCTTGTAAAGTCTGATGCCTTCTGGTCTTCAGAGTCATAAACCCGCTCTCTCTAATCTCTGACAGTCATGACATTAGCTTACAGCAAGACCAGAGTATTCACAAAACATGACAAAATGAGCATTCCCCAGTTGTTGACAGCAGAGCAAGGCTTTAACTAGAACATGTCCTGTGTATTGAAACCATGCAATGCCTCCTAGAAAAGGTTCCTTTATCATCATGTGTATTAGCATACGTAGAAAATAACTATACAAGCCTAAAAGCAACTATGTACTTCGTATGTCTTACTCATACTAACAGACTGGCTGCTTTAGGGCATGCATGTAAGGCAGCCTCCAAAAGCCTTTTTTGGGGGAGGGCAGCAGCTCTTCGAATCTGCTTGCACTGCTTTTCAAGTCTGGCCCTCAATGTCTGCTGCTCTCAGGAAATTCACATAATTGGATCCATTTCTCCTTACAAACAAGTGAAGCAGTGTGGCTCACAGAGTAATACCCACCTTCAAATTGCCATCAATGACTAATCTATCAGTGTTGGTGGTATCTCCCTTAGCTTATGCTGAAGGAGGAGCAAGATATGTGAGCTGAGGACTCCAAAACCAAATTCCCACTTCTTACTAGGAAGTTGAACAATACTGAGTCATGATGCAAAACAAAACATAACAAAACACCCATAACTAAAGTATAAATTCAACTGATCCTTTGAAATGAGAGTTTTAAAAGAATAAACTTGAAAAAGTAAAGTAGTTAGAAAGAAAAACCAAAGTTACTAATGTTCTCTTTAAACAGAGGGGGAAAAGACCTCAACTATTATTTCATTTTATTCACATTCAGAATGTTCAAACCACAACCTAAATAGCCCTACTTGTCAATAATATGGAAAGATCTAGTTGCTATTATATATTATATTCTTTTCTTTTTATTTTTAAAACCACATTCCCTTGGTGATATCTAGTGAGAAAGTGTGATTCTAGTTTGTGTTGAACAAATGTTTTTAGCTCTAAGGTGTTATACTGTAATTGAGATCTTTTCAACTACTGCTTAAAAGAAAACATTAGCAAATGCCTGCCTTAATTGCAAAAAAACACATGAATTCCAATATTACCTTATTGATCTTCTGAGTACACATCTATTAGAACCATGGCTGTGAAATCATTTCAGAAACAGACAAATGTCATTTAGAAACAGACTACAGAATCAAATCACAGCTAAAGAGAAGAATGCTTTATGACAGTTCAGACAGTGGTAGGAAATCAAAGGCAAATTCACATTTTTTATTACTCACCCTAAAATATGCTGAAATTGAACATTTGTGAACCAAGTAGCTAAAAATATATTGAAGAAAACTATAACTTAACTACATATTGAGCTCATTTCAATCACAGTAGTCTATTTTAAAAACAAACTCCCATAAGGAATATAGGAATGGAATCCATTGAAAGCAACAGCTGTCAAAAACTCTGCCAAGAAACTCAGAGTAACTTATTGCATCATAAAAGGTGAGGTGTTCAGAAAAACAAATAGTTCAATCATATTCTTTTCTTTCAGACTTTGTCACTTCAATCCACGAGAAATTTCTAGAACTAAACTCCCTAAAAGATGTTTTCAAATTTAAAGACTAAGTCAAGGAAATTCAGCATGGTAAACAGAAAAAAAAATACCTTTTAATCTATTTTTAGTATTGATCGAGCTTAGAGAATCTTACTCAAAAACATAAATTCGGACTAGCATCCCAAATCTGCCACTAGTTACCTCTTTCTATAGATTTTTTGGGCCAGGAACTGTTGTTTCTTAGGGCTTTGATTTCCCCACATGCAAACTGCAAGTGATGGGTACCAGTACTGCCTGCCCAGCTCTGACATGCTATTCTCCAGTGACAGTAAGATGGGCACAGCTTCCAGCTAAGCTGCCTCCTCTCTCAATCATGCCCAAGCACTTGCTTAATATTTGTAAAGCAGTTAGATCCTTCCAATTAAGGTAAATATCTGCCTCAATTACAATATACACATTAATTTCAGATATCTACTTTTTGGGCTTGCTTTGATGTCTGCTGGATAGGAAAGTGGCAAAAGCATTATGCGACATACAAGATGCCGAGGGACCCAATAAGCTGGCTGTCAGCTACTACTGTGCTTTCTGTGGGACTATAGGATCCCAATGGGTGAATACCACTTAACAGCAAGGTAATTCAACCCGTATAGATGGGGACAACACTGACCTTCTGTCTATAGAATTCTCCCCAACAGGCAGGTCTAATTTTGGAGTCGTTTTATAGAAGAGGTATAATGGTGATTTCAATAACTCAGCCATCCTATAAGTCACATTAAAGGCTTGCAGAAATATTATCAGGCATTATAATCCTAAATTAAAAGTGCACATCCTAAGAAAACACAGAAAGAGAGGATAAGCACTACTTTGGTAATAACAGCAGTGTGTCATTACTTGTGTCTTACACACACACACTTAACTGTTTTTTTAAACTCCACTTCTAAGTAACTAATAAACTGTGGTTACAATTAAGTCCACCCAAGAAGGTTGGTATAAATATTATTAACGTGTGTGCTTGCCTATCTCAAAATATTGATGAGATTATGAAACTTGGGGGAATCTGATTGTCCAATGCAAGTTTTTTCCCTTAATGGAAACCAAGCCAAGCAAACAAAACCCCAATCTCCTAATTTGGCTCACTCTGACACTGACTTCATGGAGGGGAGGGGGAAAGCATGTCAATATTTTTTAAATGAATAGTGCTGATTAACATTCCTTGGTTTATACATCTACCTAATGGAAATGAAGTGCTATCCCAACTGAGAGCCTATGTACTGGAAGATTATGAGATAAAGTGCACATGCTAGTCTCTCCCAGATTGAATTTACCAAAAGCCAAACATGCTGTGAAATGTCTGCAGTAAGAACACTGCTGATAGCCGGGCAGGGTGGCTCATGCCTATAATCCCAGCACTTTGGGAGGCTGAGGCGGGCAGATTACTTGAGGTCAAGAGTTTGAGACCAGCCTGGCCAACCTGGTGAAACCCCGTCTCTACTAAAAATACAAAAATTAGCTGGGCATGGTGGTGGGCGCCTTGTAATCCCAGCTACTTGGGAGGCTAAGGCATGAGAATTGCTTGAACCCAGGAGGGAGAGGTTGGGGTGAGCTGAGATTGTACCACTGGACTCCTGCCTGGGCAACAAAGCAAGTCTCTGACTTTAAAAAACAAAACAAAACAAAACACTGCTGATAAAATTTGTTGTAGCCCCTAGATCTCAGAACATGGAAAAAGCAGTTGCCTAAAAATTTGCACTGACCCATTCATAATCTTAGAAAGAGTTTAAACTTATTCCCAACCCTTCCCCCACAGAAAACAAAAAAGGCAGCAAATGGGGAAGAAAAAAGGGAATAGAGAAATAGCCCAATATTCATGATTTTCAAAATCAAATCAATTCAAAATCCTTAAATATGCATGCAATAGATTCAACAATTTGTTTTTCTGTGGAAAAACATCATCTGTTTGAGCCTTTCTCCTCTGCCATTAAGCTATTGATAAAGCTTGCCAATGGACTAAGGAAACATTAATAAATGCCTACTTGTTCTAAAAGCTCTCAGCTCTATTAAAATCAAAGGCTGAATCCTACATATTGTAAACCTATCCAAAACTGCTTCAAAAGACCCTGTACACACACCCCCACCCTGATACCCTAAGAATGGGGAAATTAGTAAAAATGCACAAAAGACAACATTTCTTGCCATTAGTCTCTCTGGTGTTAATGCTGGCATGCCCTATGAGGGCCAGTGGCCCTGTGACCCTGTGGTCCCATTTTCAACTTGGGCTTTCAGGAGAAGCAGTAGCTACTTAAAATTTCTGTAGGATACTGGCTTCTGCAATTTGAGCTTACTGTTTTACATCACCTACACTGAAGTTAATTGGGCTCCTCTGAATCTGATATAAACCAATCACTTCCCAAGAGTACACTTTACGGAGAACCAAACAGTCATATATCCACCATGAGGACCACTTTCTTTCATTATCTCTTCATACCCAATACATTTGCAATCCAGGTTAAAAATAACTACTAGAGATTGTTGGTAACAACCATTTCCCCTTCTTCCCCAGTTTGGATACCTGGGTTCAAACAACAAATGTTTATCAATCCTAACAGTCTCATCAGCCTTTCATATTTGATGGGTGGTTTCCAAGGTCATGCACTTACAGATATATTATCCTATGCAGTATAAAAGTAGAGATCTGGCAACTATTTAATTTGATCAGGCAAAGCAGTCAAAGCAAACTTCTCTTGCCCAAAAATTTACATAAAAGAACTGAGTTGTCTTGCTTGATGGCCTAGCTTGACCAAGTTAAATAGCTCATTGCCAAAACTTCCACTTTACAGAGGTGTAAAGACCCAATAAGTCTTTGACATTCAAGAGGAAACAATAGTCATCTATTATTTATAGCTAGATATAATATCAAAATGGCAACAGAGAAGCAATTTTTGGCATATAGTGGTGGAGGGCACAGCGCCAGTCTAAATCTGATGCTCTTATTTTATTTTAGCTTTTGTTTTTGTTATCGTTGCACCAAAGACTATCAAGTTGGAATCCCAATTATTCAGGAAACCAACCTACTATATGTGATATGCATACAAAAAGCATCCTGAAAGTACTTGGATACAAGCATCCTGAAGATACTTGGTTACAAGGTTTTATGCAAATCATAAATTCTTTAAATAAATAATGCTCTCCGTTATTTTTACTTGCTAAAAAACTGATTTTTGATAAGGAGCAGCATCTAACACCTTGAAAAAGTACTTAAGAATAGGAGACAAATTCCACTGATAATTACCATTTCAAGTGTGATAATCAGTTGAAGTATTTTTTCCACCAGAGTAAAACATATGAGTGAAGTGCAAGAGAAAAGGTCATATGGATTATATTTTGCTGCTCACAGCTTTTGACACAGTCAAACATCTATGACAAGTAGTTGGGTTCAAAACATTAGAAATAAAGATCTTGGCAGACAAGGTCACCCACTGTCACTTGAACCATGGAGGGGGGGTCACAACACAGTGACTGGACGAAGTTGTTCCAATTGGTTTTCCAATGCAATTCGTTCTTGATGAACCTCCTGAGTTGTACAAAACAGAAGAAAAACAAAAAAGCAAAGGGGTCATTTCTTGAATTCATCCCTACTTCATCAGATATTAAAAGGAAACTTATGGCTGGACCCACAAACACCAGTGCTGTATAACTCAAGAACAGGAGGACTGGGAGGTACCAGATTTAAGGCTGGCGACCAGACAAAAGGGGCTTCCCAATTTGTAATTTCTCAACTCCTTTCTGAAGACAATGAAATGAAACTGACCTACTCCCCTCTACCACCCCACCCTAGTTTTAGCCTGTTTTAACAGGATCAGTAGCTAGTGGAGAGCGTCATTAAAAATTAAAAGACTAGGAGAGAGCTGAAAGCAAAAACAGACTCCCAATACTGAGTGGTGGGCAAATAGGACTTAAATTTCTAGTTGCAATCTCAGGTTTGTAAACCAGCACCATACTCAGTCAGGTCTGAAGACCAAAAAGGTATATTAGTCGCCCCTCCACCAAAGTCTCATCCAGGTTTCTGCACAACATATGGTATGAGGTACAACATCTGGGTGAAAGGCAGAAAAGAGGCCAAGCAATCTGCTGTTTGGGAATTCAAACTTTCAGGCCTAAAATGGATTTTTTGGCAAGAAGAGAGGGAACACATAAAAGTACTCAAGTAGAACCAGTCACAGTGGGAAAGAATTCCATATAAAGGCTGAATTGTGAGATTCAGAAGAACCAGTATGCTAATAGTCAGCATACAACTTCACAAGTATTTATTCACATGCTCTCCTAGCCACTCAGCCAGAAGTCTTTTGGTTTCTATCTCCTATAGGTAAGGTACTGCTCTAGCTGTGATGGTATCAGCAAAGAACATGCCAGATCAGAGTAACAGGCCTTATATTCAAATGGCTTGAGAAAGATAATAAAGTTAATGAATAAGATACTTCCAGAAGGAAATAAATAAGATGGCATCAGAGAGAGTAACACAGTGGGATCTGGGAGAAAGGAGAGAGAGTGGCCTGGGAAGGCTTCTCAGAGTTAGCACTACTTGAGCAAAGACTTGAATGAAATGAGGAGTGAGCCATATGAAGATATGGGGGGAAGGATATTCACAGTGACAAAATGGCAACTGCAAAGGCCCTGAGGGACAAATGAGTTTGGTGAGTTTGATGAACAAGAAGCCTGTGTGACCCAGAGAAGAGGGAACAAGGAAAACATTGGCAGGAAATTAAGTCAGAGATTTAGGCAAGGAACCAGATCATACAGGGCCTTGTGGGCAGAGGAAGGAATATGGAAGAGTCGGGGAGGGATGGCATTGAGAGTTTATAATCAATGAAGGAAGATGACCCAACTTATAATTCAAAATTTTCACTCTGGCTACTGTGTAGACAGATTATAGGAGGGTGAGACTGGAAGCAGGTGAGCAACTGAGAGGTTACTGCATGGACCCAGGTGAGAAATGAAAATGGCTTCCATCAGGATAGAAGCCATAAAGATGAAGAGAAGTGGATGAATTCCAGATAAATCTTGAATCTAGAACTAGTAGGACTTGCTGATGAAGTTGATGTAGGAGAGAAGGAAAATCTGGGAATGACTCCTGGGATTTTTGTATGAAGAAAGTAGCTGGCTAGTAGTGATATTGAGAAGCAGAAGATTAGATGAGAAATTGATATTTCAAGAAGAGGGTTTGGAATCAGTTATCTGAGATGTATATTAGATATCTAAGGAGAAAACATTAAGAAGTTATATATGCAAGTCTAGAGCTCAGAGGAAAAGAGAAGCAGGGTTTGAAGACATGAATTAGGTTTCACTAGTTTATGGATGGTCTTCAAAGCCAAGAGACCATATAACATCATCTAGCAAAACAGTATAGATAGAGGTTTCAGGTAAAGATATAAGAATGACCAGATAAAGATGTAAGAGTGACCAGAGGTACCATACTCTCTTCCTCCTGGAGCACAACTACAACAATACAGTAACTTTTCAAAGTCACGAACCCACAAGACAGGGAAAACAAAAGGGACAAGATGATAGCAGAAAGCTGAGTGGCAAACTGGTGAATGGTAAATGACTTAGGAGATACAGGAAAATAAATGTGGGGATTCTGCCAGCTGCTGAGTATGTGTATTCCAAGCATGAATTCCAGAGTTAGGGAAATAACCACAGGGTGGGTTTGGGAGTCCACTGGGTCCACTGTGAGAGGAACGTAAGCTAAAACTCCATTGATCACCTGATCTCCCTAAGCCCCAACTCTGACTGATGGACCACAGTGACACTTCGCATCTCCTGGAATTAGTGTCAGCTCAGAGCCAGTATCTAGTAATTCTCCAAAAGTCTAATTATTTCCCTTCCTGTAATGACCAGTCACACTGGTAAATGGCAGCAGGGTCCCCTTGGGAAAGGCTAGGAGAAATATTTACAATATAAATTTTTGGCTGCATGGTGGGCCCTTCCTTAAGGAGACACAGACGACCCTTCATCATCCAAGAGGGTCTGGACCTGTAAACTGGCTTAATCTGGGAATTAATTGAGGGGCTATGACTATAGTTCTGTTTCAATTATTCTTCAGACTTCCATTCACTAGACTTAGAACTTTTCCACTCATACAGATTAAGTAAAGAAAGCTGAGTCCCAAGCTAACATGAAGAAAAATAAGAACCAATTTAATTTTACATAGGAGAATTCCTGAAAGACTCAAACTGGCAACACCAGATATTTATGAAAGTGGGAGTGCACAAGGGGAGATGGGGGCTGGCTAAAGTAAGTGTTGGTTGAAAATCTGTTTCAGAACCAATTAGATCCCCAGATCATTCCTGCCACCAGGGCCGAATGCTGAAGGTTTATTTCTTGAAACGGTACAATAGAGAGCATCTGGATTAGCAAGAAACAGTCACAGTTGAGAACAAGATACTGGGCTGGAAATAGGAAGAGTGAATGAATATCCTGGAATGCTGAAATCTACAGCCCTCTTGCTCCACTGAACCAGCTCTTTCCCTCTATGCAGGTGACCAAAACAGTCTCCGCTCTGGAGACTCCAACCAGACCAAGAGTAAAGAACTAATCATATTCCCTTTGACAGTTCCACAACTATATAGTTGAGCCAAATTGCCAGATAGTGACAAGCCTCACAATATGCAATGAACTTCCAATCACTGTTTTCATCTTCCTTTTAAATATGAGCAAAGAAGAGCCATCAGATATTGAAGAAAAGCATCTAAGATAAGGCAAATACAATACAACACAACACAACACACACACACAAACTATTCAGGAAGAAGAAAGAAAAATGACCATGAAAAAAGATCACAACAATTAAACAAGAATAAGATATAATCAAAAATAATCAGAGAAGAAAAAATAATTATTGGTCATTAAACAACAGAAGATTTAGAATATATGATTAAGTTTCCAGAAAGAGACAAAAAGAAAAAAGAAAAGGTAGGAAGAAAGAGAAAAGAAAGAAAACAGAAGAGAAAACATGAGAAAATTAGAGAACTGATCTAAGAATTCCAATGTCTGAATATCAGTAAGGGAGAATGAGAAAAAATGGAGGTGAGGGCAAGGGGGAGGCAATAATCAGCAACAAGAAAAAAAAAATCCCTCCAGAACTCAGGAATATCAGTTTCCAAATTAAAAGAACTCACCAAATGTAGAGAACAATGGATGAAACTGGCCTAACCCAAAGCAGAGGGAGACAGGAGAAAAACCAAAACCAAACAAAATGCAAAATAAAACAAAAACAAGTTCACATACAAAGTTTCATATAACAGAATCAACTCTGACATTTAAAAAACAATCTTATTTTTTAAATTATCATAGGGTAAAACAAGTTTTTTCTTTTAGGGTACAGATTTGTGTAACCACCACCACAAACAAGATACATTACAGTTCTACTAAACCCAAAAGTTCCCTGGGACTACTCATATAAACTCTCATCTCATGCATAACCTCTGCCAGCCACTGATTTGTTTTCCCTCACTATAGTTTTACCTTTTCAAGAACGTCAAACAAAAGGAATCATACAGTACACAACCTTTTGATACTGGCTTGTCTCACTCGGAATAATGTCTGAGTTTCATCCAAGTTGTGTATCATTTATTTTCTCCATTGAGTACTATTCCCTTGTATGAAAGTACTACAACTTATTCATTAATCTTTTGAAGGACATTTGTGTTATTTTCAGGTTTTGGCTATCATGAATAAAACTGCTAAAAGCATTCATGTATAGATTTTTGAGTGAACATAAATTTTCATCTCACTAAGGTAGAGAGACTTCTGAGTCACACAGTTAGTGCATGTATAACTTCATAGGAAACTGCTGAATGATTTTTCAGAGTGGTAGTACCATTCTGCATTCCCACCACCAATAAATGAGAGCTCCAACTGGCAGCAGTTGGTGGTGTCATATTTTTTGTTTTAGAAATTCTAATATGTGTATAGTGGTATGTAACTGTGGTTTAAATTTGCATTTCCTGAATGGCTAATGATGTTGAATATCTTCTCATGTACTTATTTGCCATCCTTATATATTCTTTAGTGAAGTGTCTGTTCAAGTTCTTTGCCCATTTTTAAATTGAGATGTTTTGGTTTTGAGAGTTGTTATTATTGAGTTTTAAGAGTTCTTTATATAATTGAGATATAAGTCTTTCATCAAATACGTGGTTTGCAAACATGTTCTCCTAGTCAGCAGCTTGTCTCTTAGTTTTCTTAACGATCCTTGGCAAAATAAAAGGTTTTAATTTGGATGAAGTCCAATTTTTCAGTTTTCTCTGTTATGGATTGTGCTTTTGATGTTATTTCTAACCCCAGATCATGATTTTTCACCTACGTTTTCTTCTAAAAAATTTTATAGCTTTATGTTTTACATTTACATCTATGACTCATTTCAAGTTAATCTCTGTATAGATGTGAGGTTTAGATCAAAGTTCCATTTTTAAATGCAAATGACAAATTGTTATAAAACAATCTGTTGAAAACTATTCTTTCTCACTGAATTGATTTTGCACCTTTGTCAAAGATCAAATGGCTGTTTTCATGTGGTCTATTTCAGGACTCTGTATCCTATTCCATTGATCTATGTATCAACATCTTGATTGCTGGAGCTTGAGAGTAAAGTGATTCCTCCAACTTTGTTCTTCCTTTTCAAATTTGTTTAAGCAATTCTAGCTCCTTGGTCCTTACATATAAGTTTTGGGATTAGCTTGTCTACACTCACAAAAAATCCTGCTGGGATTTTTATTGGTTTTGTCATAAATCTATAGACTACTTTGGAGAAAAATAACATTTGAAAAGATATTTCATGAAGTAAGATATATGAAAGGTAAATAATCACAAAGAAAAGTGGTCAACATAATTAGCAAGGAGATGATGATAAAAACTATATCACTAAAGGGCTGGCTAAAATTAAAAAGAATCATTACACCAAATGTTGGCAAAGATGTGGAACAACTGGAACTCTCATACATTAGTGATAGGAGTACAAATTGCTACAACCACTTTGGAAAACGGTCTAGCAGTTTCTCAGAAACTAACCACATACACTTACCACGTTACCTACTAATCCCAATCCTAGGTATTTATCCAAGAGAAATTAGAACATATTTTCATACAGAGACTTACTTAAAATGCAGTTTTATTTGAAATTGCCAAAAACTGGAAACAGCTCAGGTGTCTGTCAATAGAATTGATAACCAAATTGTGACATATTCACTCAATGGAATACTACTCAGGAATAAAAAGGAACAAATTACTGATACACACAAAAATATAAATGAATCTCAAAAACAATACTAAGTGAAAGAAGTTTTACACACAAGTATAAGTTATAAGACACCACTTATATAAAGTTATAGAACAGGTAAAACTATGGTATAAAAATTAGAATAGTGATTGCCTCTGTGTGAGTAGGGCAGGAATTGACTAGGAAAAAGCATGAGGGAGCTTCCTGGGATGATGGTAATATTCTCTATCTTTATAGGGGTTTGGGTTCCGTAAGTACATGTACTTGTTACAAACTCAGCAAATGTATACAAGATTTGTGCATGCATTTTGTATAAACATTTTACATCATAAGAAAAAAACTTCTAAAAATTATTGAACTCTAGCTAATAATAAACACACTAGAGTATTTAGGGAAAGTATACAGATATCTGTAATTTACTTGAAAATATGTCAAAAATTAAAAATAAAAAATAAATAATAAAAAGAAAATATGTCAAAAATAAGAGGAACTGATGGATACAAGGATAAAAGGGTGGATATGTGATAAAAACAAGTATAGTAAAATGTTACTGGTAGAACCAATGTGATGTCTATAAAAGCAGTCACTTATGATTCTTTCAACTTTCCTGTAGGTTTGAAAATGTACATACTAAAACATTGGGGCAAATGGGGTTGGGGTATAAAAGTGAAGTCAGGAAAAGAAGGGATAGCAGAGAATGAAAAGCACCAGTGAAGCAGAAGGAAAACCAGGAGAGTATATATAGTATCTCAAAAACCAGTTAGCGAAGCAATTTCAGAGGAGGAAATGATCAATTGTGCAGATGTCTTCTGAAAATTTTAATAGTATTAAAATAGTCGCATTGGATTTAGCCATAAGATGGGTGTGAGTAGAGGAGAGCAAAGTGAAAGAAAGAAACCACTGGTTGGAAAGTAAAGATAATGAATAAAAACCACTCCCAAGAAACTTTGCTGTGAAGGGGACCAAAGAAATTGGGCAGTAATTGGTCAAGTGTTATGGACAATACTGGAGCATATTTACATGTGGATGGCGAATGATCCAGTAGAGAACCGGGAGATATAGCGAGTAGATGCATGTCCTCTCAAAAGATATATTCAAGTCCTAACCCTCAGTACCTGGTCACATTTGTGACCTTAAATGCAAATAGGTTCTTTCTAGATGTAATCAAGTTAAGATGAGGTCATGCTAGATTAGGGTGGGTCCTAAGCCAATGATTGGTATCCTTATGATAAGAAGATACAATAAGAAATTTGGACACAGACACAGAGAGATACAGGAAGAAGGCCATGTGACAACAGAGGCAGAAACTGGAGTGATGGAGCTGCAAGCCAAGGAACGCCCGGGACTGTCAGCAACACCAAAAGCTGGGAAGAGGTTAGGAAAAACTCTCTTCTAGAGCCTTCAAAGAGAGCATGGCTCTGCCAATGCCTTGATTTTAGAGTTCCAGCCTCTAGAGCTGTGAGATAATAGATTTTGGTTATCTTAAGCCACCACATTTGTAGTATTTTGTTATAACAGCCCTAGGAAACAAATATACAGGAGAGTAATGATGAAGAGAAACAGGGGTGATGTCCTTGAGAAGGTGAAATGGAACCATTTGCAAGTTACCAGGGGAGAGGCTGGCCTTTGATAGTACCAGGGCCACTTCCTTCTACTGAAATAAGAATTTATGTCGAGGATTTAAATAATTAAGGGCTTACCCAGAAGCTCTGGACAATAAAGAATGCTCCAAACAGCCTTCATAATAGATTATCTTTCCTTTTAACTCCTATACAATATGAAGCCTACATATTAAAGTCACTAGTCTTCCTCTAACTATGCATGAACCAACCCATGAAACTTAAATACAGTAATTCTCCACTTTCCAAAAGGGGTTTTGAGAACAAAGAAGCAAGTCTTGTCAACAGGGATGAACTAAATAGTCAGCAAATGGTCACATCAGATCACTGTACATGATAGGTATGGAGACATCACGATATACCCCACCCCCTAAATATGTACAATTATTATATGTCTATTAAATAAAATAACACCTTTTTAAAGTACAAATATGTTTAATAGAATTCAAGTCATACAAAGCATATTCTCTGATCACAATGGAATTGAATTAGAAATCAACAACAGAAAGATCTCTGCAAAATCCCCAATTATTTGAAAACTAAGCAATACACTTCTAAATACCCCATGTGCCAAAGAATAAATGAAAAGGGAATTTAGGAAGTATTTAGAACTAAATGAACACAAAATACACAACATTCAAAATGTGTAGAATGCAACTAAAGTTGAACTTAGGAAGAAATTTATAGCACTGAACATTCATATTTGAAAAAAAGAAAGTCTTCAATCATTGACATGAGAGCTCTCATCTTAAGAAGAAACTTGAAAAGCCAAATGAAACCTAAAGTAGAAGAAAGGAAATATAAAAAATCAGAGTAAGCCAGACATGATGGTGTACGTCCATCATCCTAGCTACTCAGGAGGCTGAGACAGAAAGAGTACTTGAGCCCAGGAGTTCAAAGTTGCAGTGAGCTATCATAGAATATCACCTTTTTTAAAAGCCAGAGAAAAGCCTGATCATCTAAATCTGGGAGTCATTCCTTACCTTGAGCTGCTGCTGGAGCTCACTGTTCAGCCGAGCCAGCACTGCGTTTGCCTCTTTATTTTTGCGGATAGCAGTTTGAATGGCCTTCTTCTGTTTGGAAGACTGTCTATAGAAAAGCACAAACACTTCAGTGAAAAAGGACTTAGAAGGCTGGACCCTTGAGGGTCAGAACTCTGATTCATGAGAGGTGTTAAAGTAACAAGTGGTTAACAACACAGGGCTCCAAAAATAAAATCTCATATTCACAGGTGGCCAGACAGATAGACACCAAATGAAACAAATTTGTTGGGATGAATTATTTACACCTGAAGTAATTCCCATTTTATAACTTGAATAAAAGCTGTGAAGTGGGTCTTTTCAAACATTTGTGTTCCATTATTCCAAGACATTTTAATAAGTATTTCTTCCTGATAAACCATATTAATTGGAATGCCCTTTTTCTGTAAGAATTAATAGCACTTAAAAGAACTGCAGGTGCCCCCTGTGAACAAGTCTGAAGGAAAAGAATAATATTCTTTTTAGCAAAAATTCTACATTAATTCAGCCAGACTACCTATCTCTACCTTATTTGTTATTAGGCATGAATGCCTAAGGATATGTGTGTGTGTGCATGCATGTGCACTCGTGTGTATGTGCATGAACCAGCATATATCTGTGGCACTTGAGAAAAACACAGAACATTTTAATAGCCATATTCCCCAATTAACAGCAAATTCACAGAACAGGCATAACCAGAGTGACCACGCATCCTACTGTGCCCATTACAGTCTCCATTTAAACTATCTGTCCAGCATAAGTACTATTAGCACCCTCTTTACCTTTCAAAACCATCCATGGTTGGGATGATAAACAGTGTGTTTGCCACAGGGATAATCTATAATCTTTCATCCCACAGCAAGAAACACTGAATTATTAGAGCAAAAGAGCAATTGATGTTCTCCTAGAAAAACAACCATATGTGCTACTACTGAGAGATGGGTTCTAGGCCAAAGCAACTGAACTAGGATGGACTGTGACCACTGTACAGATCTGATTAATACTGAAAATTGGCTGGGTGCAGTGGCTCAGGCCTGTAATCCCAGCACTTTGAGAGGTAAAGGCAGGATGATCACTTGAGGCCAAGAGTTTGAGACCAGACTGGGCAACAACAGTAAGACTCCATCACTACAAAAAAAAAAAGAAATTGGCTAAGCATGATGGTTCATGCCTGTAGTTCCAGCTACTCAGGAGGCTGAGGGTGACAGAATCATTTGAGCCCAGGAATTTGAGGCTGCAATGTGCCATGATTGTGCTACTGCACTTCAGCCTTGGTGACAGAGTGAGACTTTGTCTCTAAAAAATAAAAAAAAAAAAAAAAGAAAGTGAAAAGACAACCCAAAGAATGAGAGAAAATATTTATAAAGATGGCTCAATTTTATCATATATCTGACAAGGGAGTTGTACTCAGAATAAATAAAGAACTTATAACTCAAATATAGAAAGATTAATAATCCAATTAAAAGTGGGCAAAGGATATGAATAGATATTTCTCCAAAGAAGATAAACAAATGGCCAACAGGCACATGAAAAGATGCTCAATGTCATTAAACATGAAAGAAATGCAAATCGAGGGTGGGATCGATCCAAGATGGCCAAATAGGAAGAGCTCTGGAGTGCAGTTCCCAGCCAGAATAACACAGAGGGTGCATAATCACCACATTTCCAAATGAGTTTTTACTGCCCACAGACCACGAGATTCTCGGGCAGAAAAGCACCATGAGTTTCCAGCATGGCTGTTTCAGCCAGCGCTGTGGGTCTCTGCACAAAAACTGGCACAAATCCGGGCAGCCGTTTCAACAGGCGCCTGGAATGCCTGGGATACAGAGCTACCCATTCAACTGAAGAAAAAGGGGGCTGAAACAGGGAGCCAGGTGATCTGACTCAGCTGGTCCCATCCCCGACAAAGATCAGCAATCTGAAACACTCTGGATTGAGAGTTTCGCAACAAGCACAGCTGGACCTGGGACGGTCCAGCTCAGTGGGGAGAAGGGCGTGAGCCATTACCAAGGCAGTCCGCCATTACCAAGGCAGTCTGCCATTACTGAGGCAATCCACCTTCACCAAGGCAGTCCACCATTACTGAGGCAGTCTGTCATTACCGAGGCAGTCCACCATTACTGAGGCAGACCACCATTACCGAGGCAGTTCTAACAGGAAGTTCACACAGCAGCTGGGCAAAGCCCACAGCAACTCAGTAACGCCTCTGCTGGCAGACTGTAGCTAGACTACCACCTTGCTGGGCAGGGCATCTCTGGAAAAAGGCAGCAGCATGTCAGGAACTTATAAATAAAGCCCCACCTTCCCAGGACAGAGCACCTGGGGAAAAAGGTGTTTATGAGTTCCGCTGCAGCAGACTTAAAGGTACCTGCCCAGAAGCTCTGAACGAAACAACAGAGCTCCCAGCTCAGCACTTGAGCTCCTATAAGGGACAGACTATCTCCTCAAGCAGCTCCCTGACCCCTGCATATCCAAAGAGACACCTCATAAAGGAGAACTCAGGCGGGTACCTTTCTGGGATGAAGATAACAGAAGAAGAAACTGGCAGTGACCCTTACTGTTCTTCAGCCCCCGTGGGTGATACCCAGGCAAGCAGGGTCTGGAGTGGACCTCCAGCAGGCCTACAGCAGAGGGGCCTGACAGTTAGAAGGAAAACTAAAAAACAGAAAGAAATAACTTTGACATAAACAAAAAGGACGTCCACTCAGAGACCCCATCCAAAAGTCACCAACAACAAAGACCACAGGTAGATAAATCCACAAAGGTGGGAAGAAACCAGTGCAAAAAGGATGAAAACACCAAAAACCAGAATGCCTCTCCTCCTCCAAGGGATCACAACTCCACACCAGCAAGGGAACGAGGCTGGATGGAGAATGAGTCTGATGAACTGACAGAAACAGGCTTCAGAAGGTGGTAATAACAAACTTCTCTGAGTGAAAAGAACATGTTGTAACCCAATGCAAAGAAACTAAGAACCTTGAAAAAAGGTTAGACGAAATGCTAACAAGAATAAACAACTTAGAGAAGAATATAAATGACCTGATGGGGCTGAAAAACACAAGAGAACTTCGTGAAGCACACAGAAGTTTCAACAGCCGAATCGACCAAGAAGAAGAAAGGATATCAGAGACTGAAGATCGACTCAATGAAATAAAACGAAAAGATTAGATAAAAAAGAGTGAAAAGAAATGAACAAAGCCTCCAAGAAATATGGGATTATATGAAAAGACCTAATCTACATTTGATAGGTGTACCTGAATGTGATGGAGAGAATGAATCCAAGCTGGAAAACACTCTTCAGGATATTATCCAGGAGAACTTCCCCAACCTAGCAAGACACGCCAATATTCAAGTCCAGGAAATACAGAGAACACCACAAAGATATTTTTCAAGCAGAGCAACCCCAAGGCACATAATCATCAGATTCTCCAGGGTTGAAATGAAGGAAAAAATGCTAAGAGCAGCAAGGGAAAAGGTCGAGTTACCCACAAAGGAAAGCCAATCAGACTCACAGCAGATCTCTCAGCAGAAAATCTACAAGCCAGAAAAGAGTGGGGGCCAATATTCAACATCCTTAAAGAAAAGAACTTTCAACCTAGAATTTCATACCCAGCCAAACTAAGCTTCATAAGTGAAAGAAGATAAAATCCTTTACAAACAAGCAATTGTGGAGAGACTTCGTCATCACCAGGCCTGCCTTACAAGAGCTCCTGCAGGAAGCACTACAGATAGAAAGGAACAACCAGTACCAGCCACTCCAAAACGTACCAACTGGCAAAAAGCATCAACACAATGAAGAATCTGCATCAACTAACAGGCGAAACAACCAGCTAGCATCAAAATGGAACCATCAAATTCACGCCTCACAATATTAACCTTAAATGTAAATGGGCTAAATGCCCAAATCAAAAGACACAGACTGGCAAATTAGATAAAAGTCAAAACCCATTGGTGTGCTGTATCCAGAAAACCCATCTCACATACAAGAACACACATAGGCTCAAAATAAAGGGATAGAGGAAGATTTACTAAGCAAATGGAGAGCAAAAAAAAGCAGGAGTTGCAATCCTAGTCTCTAATAAAATAGACTTTAAACCAACAAAGATCAAAAGAGACAAAGAAGGACATTACACAATGGTAAAAGGATCAATGCAACAAGAGCTAACTATCCTAAATATATATGCACCCAATACAGAAGCAGCCAGATACACAAAGCAAGTTCTTAATGATCTAGAAAGAGACTTAGACTCCCATACAATAATAGTGGGAGACTTTAACACTCCTCTGTCAATATTAGACAGATCAATGAGACAGAAAATAAACAAGGATATCCAGGACTTATTTCAGATCTGGACCAAGCAAACCTAATAGACATCTACAGAAATCTCCACCCCAAATCTACAGAATATACGTTCTTCTCAGCACCACATCACACCTATTCTAACACTGACCACATAATTGGAAATAAATCACTCCTCAGCAAATGCAAAAGAACAAAAATCATAACAAACAGTCTCTCAGATAACAGTGCAATCAAATTAGAATTCAGGATTAAGAAACTAATTCAGAACCATACAACTTCATGGAAACTGAACAACTGGCTCTTGAAAGTCGACTGGATAAACCATTAAATGAAGGCAGAAATAAAGATGTTCCTCAAAACCAACGAGAATGAATACACAGCATACCAGAATCTCTGGGACACATTTAAAGCAGTGTCTAGATAAAAATTTACAGCAATAAATGCCCACATCAGAAGCAAGAAAAGATCTAAAATCAACGCCCTATCATCAAAATTGAAAGAGCTAGAGGAGCAGGATCAAAAAAACTCAAAAGCTAGCAGAAGACAAGAAATAACTAAGATCAGAGCAGAACTGAAGGAGATAGAGACACAAAAAGTCCTACAAAAAAAATCAATAAATCCAGGAGCTGGTTTTTGAAAAAAAAACCAACAGAAGACAGTCCACTAGCCAGGTTAATAAAAAAGAAAAGAGAGAAGAATCAAAGAGATGCAATAAAAAATGATGAAGAGGATATCACCACAGATTCCACAGAAATACAAACTACCATTAGAGATTACTACAAACAACACTATGCACATAAACCAGTAAACCTGGAAGAAATGGATAAATTCCTGGACACTTGCACTCTCCCAAGCCTAAACCAGGAAGAAGCTGAAACTCTGAATAGACCAATAACAAGGGCTGAAGTTGAGGCAGCAATTAATAGCCTACCAATCAAAAAAAGCACAGGCCCAGATGAGTTCACAGCTGAATTCTACCAGACATACAAAGAAGAGCTGGTACCACTACTTCTGAAACTATTGCAAACAATACAGAAAGAAGGAATTCTTCCCAAATCATTTTATGAGACCAATATCATCCTGATACCAAAACCTGGCAGAGCCTCAACAAAAAAAGAAAACTTCAGGTAAATATCCATGATGAACACAGATGTGAAAATCTTCAATAAAATACTGGCAAACTGATTGCAACAGCACATCAAAAACCTTATCTACCACAATCAAGTAGGCTTCATCCTGGGGATGCAAGTCTGGTTCAATATACACAAGTCTATAAACATAATCCACCACATAAACAGAACCAAAGACAAAAACCACATGATCATCTCAAGAGATGCAGAGAAGGCCTTGGACAAAATTCAACAGCCCTTTATGCTAAAAACTCTCAACAAACTAGTTATAGATGGAACATATCTCAAAGTAATAAAAGCTGTTTACAACAAATCCACAGCCAATATCATACAGAATGGGCAAAAACTGGAAGCATCCCCTTTGAAATCTGGCACTAGACAAGGATGCCCTCTCTCACCACTCCTATTCAATATCGTATTGGAAGTTATAGCCAGAGCAATCAGGCAAGAGAAAGAAGTGAAGGGTATTCAATTAGGAAAAGAAGTCGTCAAATTGTCTCTATTTGCAGACGACATGATTCTGCATTTAGAAGGCCCCATCGTCTCAGCCCAAAATCTCCTGAAACTGATAAGCCACTTCAGCAAAATCTGAGGATACAAAATCAATGTGCAGAAATCACAAGCATTTCTATACACCAATAAAAGACTAAAAGAGAACCAAATCAAGAGCGAACCCCCATTCACAATTGCTACAAAGAGAATAAAATACCTAGGAATACAACTAACAAAGGATGTAAAGGACCTCTTAAAGGAGAATTACGAACCACTGCTCAGCGAAATAAGGGAGGACACAAACAGAAGGAAAAACATTCCATGCTCATGGTTAGGAAGAATCAATACTGTCAACATGGCCATAATGCCCAAAGTAATTTAGAGATTCAACACTATCCCCATCAAGCTACCTATGACCCTCTTCACAGAACTGGGAAAAAATCACCTTAAACTTCATACAGAACAAAAAGAGAGCCCAGACAGTGAAGACAATTCTAAGCAAAAAGAACAAAGCTGGAGGCATCATGCTACCTGACTTCAAACTATACTAAAAGTCTACAGTAATCAAAACAGCTTGGTACCGGTACCAAAACCAATGGAATGAAACAGAGGCCTTAGAGGCAACACCACACATCTACAACCATCTAATCTTTGCAAACCTGACAAAAACAAGCAATGGGAAAAGGATTCCCTGTTTAATAAATGGTATTGGGAAAACTGGCTAGCCATGTGCAGAAAGCAGAAACTGGACCCTTTCCTGACACCTTACACTAAAATTAACTCCAGATGGATTAAAGAATTAAACATAAGACCTAACACCATAAAAACCCTAGAAGAAAACCTAGGCAAAACCATTCAGGACATAGGCATAGGCAAGGACTTCATGACTAAAACACCAAAAGCATTGGCAAGAAAAGCCAAAATAGACAAATGGGACCTAATTAAACTCCAGAGCTTCTGTACAGCAAAAGAAACAATCATTAGAGTGAAACGGCAACCAACAGAATGGGAAAAAATTTTTGCAAGCTACACATCTGACAAAGGCTAATATTCCAGAATCTGCAAATAACTAAAACAGATTTACAAGAAAAAAAATAAACCCATTCAAAAGTGGGTGAAGGGTATTAACAGACACTTTTCAAAAGAAGACAGATGATGCCAACAAACATGAAAAAATGCTCATCATCACTGGTCATTAGAGAAATGCAAATAAAACCCACATTGAGATATCATCTCATGCCAGTTAGAATGGTGATAATTAAAAAATCTGGAGACAACAGATGCTGGAGAAGTTGTGGAGAAATAGGAACACTTTTACACTGCTGATGGGAGTGTAAATTAGTTCAACCATTGTGGAAGACAGTGTGGCAATTCCTCAAGGACCTAGAAATACAAATTCCATTTGACCCAGAAATCCCATTTCTGGGTATATATCCAAAAGATTATAAATCATTCTATTATAAAGACATATGCACACGTATGTTCATTGTGGCACTGTTTACAATAACAAAGACCTGGAACCAACCCAAATGCCCATCAATGATAGACTGGACAGGGAAAATGTGGCATATATACACCATGGAATACTATGCAGCCATAAAAAAAAAAAACAATGAATTTGTGTCCTTTGTAGGGACATGGATGAATCTGGAAACCATCATTCTCAGCAAACTGACACAAGAACAGAAAATCAAATACCACATGTTCTCACTCATAGGTGGGTGTTGAACAATGAGAACGCATGGACACAGGGAGGGGAGCATCACACACTGGGGTCTGTTGAGGGGAACTAGGGGAGGGACAGTGGGGGTTAGGGAGGTCAGGGAGGGATAACATGGGGAGAAATGGCAGATATAGTGATGGGGGATGGAGGCAGCAAACCACATTGCCATGTATGTACCTATGTAACAATTCTGCATGATCTGCACATGTACCCAGAATCTAAAGTACAATAATTAATACATATATAGAGAAATGCAAATCAAAACCATAATGAGGTAACACTTCACACTCATTAGGATGGCTGTAATTTTTTTTTTAAAAAAAAAGGTAAGTGTTGACAAAATGGAGAAATTGGAATGCTCATACATTGCCAATGGGAACATGAAATGGTTCAGCCACTATGAAAAGTTTGGCAGTTCTTCGAAATATTAAAGATAGAGTCACTACATGACTTAGCAATTCCACTCCTAGGTACAGACCCAAGAGAAATGAAAATGTAAGTCCACACAAAAGCATGTACACAAATAGTATAGTGGCATTACTCTTAAGAGCCAAAAAGTGGAAATAACCAAAATGTCCATGAACTGATGAATCGATGAATCAAATGTGGTCTATCCATACAATGGAATATTATTCAGCCATAAAAAGATAAGTCCAGATTTATGCTACAACTTCGATGAACCTTGAAAACATTATGCTAAGTGAAAGAAGCCAGTCACAGAAGACCACATTTAATAATTCCATTTTTGTGAAATGACGAGAATACACAAAGCCATGAAGATAGTAGATTCATGGTTGTCAGGGGCTAAGGGGAAAGGAGAGAATGGGGAGTGATTGCTAATGGGCATGGACATTCTTTTAGGATGACAAAAATTAGATCATCATGATGGTTGCATAACTCTGTGAATAAACTAAGAACCACTGAATTGTATATTTAAAAACATGAACTGCGTGCTACATGAATTATATTGCAATAAAGCTGTTATAAAAAAGAGAAAAAGAAAACATTTCTGTATGAACTCCACCAGAAGACCTGACATCTACTCTGGAGGATGTTAAGCCACCACTGACTGAATCAAATTAACATGAAGCTGAAATTAAAGTGGAGTGCTGGTGTAGAACATGGAAGAAAATTGAGCCATCTTTGTCTCTGATAGGAATTAACCCCCACCCCGCCTCCAGGCTTAATGAGGGCTGGAAGACGGTCAAAGCTCTTAGCGAATGTGATGAACAAAATATACTTCCTTTATGGGCTGATATCACCAGGACCTGTCCATGTGGGGATAAAAAAATCATCTGAATGAAAGAGCTGCAGAGATTCAGAATGGGACTCTGGCTTCAAAGACAAGTGGCTAACATCACCCACAGAATCTGCTGCTTTTCATTCTACAATAGTGTAAGCAGAAGAAAATCTACAGCAGCATCTGAGACCTGCAAGAGCTCGAAAGCAGGGTCATGATGGCCCTTGAGTATTTATTTTAGTGACTGGCCAGGCTCACTTGTGGTCAAGTGACAGGAGCAGGTTTCTGTCCTCAACACCTTCCTCAATTTCACTACAAAGAAACTGAAGCAAGTGATGGCTCTTCTCAAAGCCAAAGTTTTACAAAGAAGGATAGTTTGCCCAGAGCATCATTGTCTCAGTCCCTGGCCATGTCCACAGGTGTCTCCACCCTCCCTCCAATATCTGTTCCAGCTGGTTAGATAAATATAATAGAGGTTCTGCATGTATCCATTCTGTGCTGAGATGACCAACAACAGAAACTCTTTGCAGAGATTTAAAAAGAATCACATACCACACCTACTAAAAGTGTGTCTATGGGTGAAGGAGCTAGCCATTTGTCCTGAGGGAACAGAAGAAAACACAGGCAGAGGGGCAAAATTGCCATTTACAATACTATCTTCTTGCCAAGAAAATCCAGGACAGCACAAGAAAGAGGGGTAGGAAACAACAGAAGGTGAGAGGAAGGGAAAGAAATCAAACCAAACCAAAACACCACAGCCTAGGACTCACCTGCCCCTTTATGTCAGGTTAAGTCCTATAGCTTATAAAGCCTTCTATGTGACTGGGAGACTTGAATCCCATCACAGAGATGAACAAGATAAAACTTACGACCATGAAATCCTTGTATTGATGTGCACGTAAATGTCAACACATTTACACATCCGCGTACATCTCCGAGCGAGATTCTGACCTCACTCTTGTTTATGTGGTCTACTTACTTTTGGACTGTTGGATGTGGTTTCACAGTTGCTGCAGAAGCTGGCCCACTTGCAACAGTGGAAGGCTCTTGGTTTTCTGTAGCTTGATTTTCTGGTCTGAATTTCCTACGAATGGGCTTTGATGGTGGCTGAGAATACGGTACATCCTGTGGATTTAAAACAATAAAATTTAAAAGTTAAACATTTAAATGTTCCCTCCACTCTTCTTGCCAGTGTCCCACATTCCTTTAGCCCCGACCCCAAGATCAGGAGGGTGCTCTATCTATTGACCCATAGCTCAGCAAGAACTGGGGGGCACAGGCATCAGAGTTCAGTGGTCTTCCCTTTTTTCTTTTTTAAATGTTTCAAGAAGTCTATTACTTCTCGTCACCTGAAACTCACACAGACCCTGGGTGCATCTCACACCATGGGGCCTCTTCTAACTGAAGACAAGATATGCTCCTGCCTCACTTTGGAGCCTTTTAAAACCTAAGCTTTGGAAGTTTTTAAAAGTCTTAGTCACATGCTCATCATTCTCCTCCTACCCCCAATTCCTACATAAAGTCAAGAAAAGGAGCCACAGTGTATTCTGGAAGGACACAGTTGTTCCACTTTCTTGGAGGACTCCGCCTCACCTGTGCTCCTGAGCCCAAGGCCCACTTTCTCTGAAGGTAGAAGAGCCTGGGAGAAGGACAAGAAGAGGGTGAGGAGATGAATGGAAAGCATGATGAATGATGGGTACTTACTGAGCAAATGACAGGTGTCCCAGCAGCATGGCTGGGCAGATGCCAGGTGAAAATGCCAGGATGCAAGAGGAAACCATGGTACAAAGACCAAGAAAAAGAGCTATCCCACCCCAAGAGGTGCTCACAGAAGCTTAGCAGGTAAATGGTATTTCGCTAAATACATGTGTCCCTCCCCAAAGCCCTTTATGATCTTGCCAAAAACAGGGCCACCATGTTTAGCTGGGGAGTTAAGAAGGTGAGTATGTACTGTCATATACAAAATGACATCAAGGGTCAAGCCCAGGAATCTTCAGGACCCCAATCTTCACAAAGAACCCACATTCTAGGAAATCTGAATCATTGACATTCATTTCAGGACACAGAAACCTTCAAACAATAGATTTGCCAATAGAGATAAGAAGCCCAGAGGTGGGAATCACAACACCATCTGATAGCATCCTGAGGCTGACCTTACCTTCTTTGAGGGACTACTTTCTGCAGCCTGGGATGGGGCTCTGCTCAGCTGTGGGAGTAACTCGGCCTCCAACACTTGTTCAGACTGTAGCAAGAGATCAGAGAGAGGACAGAAATGCAAAAACACAATCACCTAAATATATAACAAAGAGCACTTAGGAAGATAATCACCAAGGGAAAAACTGATTTAGGCCACCTTGCAGCCAAGAATGCTTATATCTGCTGATCCTTGGGAAAAACCTCCCATAGATGATGCTATACCCTCCCATCCCTCCTTCCCAGATTGTTCAACCTTAGGAAAAGGAATCACGGGAATTTCTTCCGTAATTGAACATGTGTATGTCTAAAAAGCGAATGCTTTGCAATAACAAACTCTAAAAATAATGAGGCTTATAAAAAAAACAGGGTTAGAAAAAAATTATTTTAATTTGAGCACCAACAAAAACAATCATCATCATTTAAAACACTGTGATGTTTTTAAATGTGAAGTCTCTAATAAAGAAATACTCTATGAAGAGTATGAAGAAGAGGTGAGAACTATCCCCCAGGCCAACCAAAGCCCACGCGCTGCTGCATTCCCAGATCCAGCACCTACATTCCACTGCAGTCGACGCCACCATGCCCAAGAGAAAAGCTGAAGGGGACACTAAAGAAGATAAAGCCAAAGTGAGGGTAACCCCAGGGAAAATCTGCAAGGTTGTCTGCCAAACCTATTCCTCCAAAGCCCAAGCCTAAAGAAGCCCCTGTAAAGAAGGGAGAAAAGCTAAAGGGAAAAAAGGGGAAAAAGCCCACGCTGGCAAAGAAGGGAATAACCACACAGAAAATGCAGAGGCCAAAACAGAACAGGCACAGAAAGTTGAAGGCACTGGGGATGCTAAGGGAAGCATGTGCATTTTTGATAACTGTGTACTTCTGGTGACTGTGCAATCTGAAGTACTCATTTTTTATTAAGTTTTATAAAAATGCAGATTTTTTTTCTTTTAAGCCATGTTGTTAGCACACTGAACACGTTGTTGTGTTTTATGGAGAAGTGGTATATGTCACTAACAGTATGTATCTGAAGCTGGACTGATGTGGAGGAAACACCTTTCCCTTCTAGTTTTGTAAGACATCTTCTTGGTTCCCAGGAGGAGGGACTGTCTGACATTGACACACACAGTCACCTTGGCACAAAGGCCTTGTGACATGGAGAAAGAAACTCCTCTAAATGTCCCCCCTCCCTCTCTACCTTCAGTATACACTTAACTCCCTTAAACCCTCTCCCTGTTGGGGTCCGGCCCCTAATAACCAGTTACCAGCCAGGCTGGCAATCTGGACTTTCCAGTAAGAACCTTTGAAAGACCAGTGCTCTGTTTCTAGGTTGTGGATCTTCAGATAAATTCTGCTATTTTTGTTTCATTTCCTGAAAGTCAAGGTCAGCTCATGAAAAGTTCTTAAACAGCATGTTGAATATAAAATGTCAAGCCTCATTCTGAACTTTCCCTCTTCAGGGCACCAAATAAAGACTTCATTGGGTTTTATTTTGGTTTTCTGGTTTTGGAAGTCCACTGAAGGAGGGAGTCTGAAAGTCGTATACTGTTTATGATTGTAACTCATGTCCTGCCTGAAATACCATGATTGTTTACAAAAAGCATTTTTAATAAAGCTGGATACAGTTTGGGGGAAAAAACAACAGGGAAGTGACAAAGCCACTTTAGTAAATATGGCTCTTTACCTTAAAAAAGAAAGAGGGACTGTAGTCAAAGGGTTATCAGAAGGGTCGAGGGTATTGAGTGGGATGGAATCAGTGACTAGACTCACAAAAATTGGCAAGGAATGTCCCCAAAGCACTTCAAGACAGATCGGGTGCCAATCAGTGAAGTGGAAGAACAGGGTAACTGGGCCTCATGAGCAGCTCCCTATGTCCCCCATTTCCCCCAGTCTTCTGCCTACAGCTATGTTACAGTAGTTTGCTTTCAGCCACTAGTAGCCAGTGATGCCAAAACATTCATGTGCTGAGAAGGAACCCCACATATGAACCAACATGACTTCTACATCATACTGACACCAGTCATCTACTGACCCACAGGTAATTGTCATTACAGAAATACACATTATAGCACAACAAACTGACTTCATGTGCCCACTCTGTCCCTAACCTGGCCTTCTCTAACCTCCTTCAGAGTGTGGCTTCTTCCTCTGACTCCACTGAAATGGCTGGTTCCCAAGGGTGCTAACATACTCCCACTTAGCATATTATGGCTGCCTCTTCATGTCTTCTCCTCATAGATCTTCTGCCCAGTGTAGTGCCTTTAACTACTTTTTTCAAACTTCTGCCCCTGGCATCTGAGAAGCTACAATCTCCTAACTACAGTAATTATTTTTCCTGTTTTGACTCTTCTTATCCCTCAAACGTAGGATTTCTCAAGATTCTGTCTCTGGTTCCCCACCCACTTTTCCCTCCCTGTTCATTCTCTCTCAGGATAATCCCATGTGTTACTACATTTTGTCCCAAGCAACTCCCCATCTCCTCTAAATCTACTAGGCAAGCACTCAATGTTCCTGATTTCTAGTTCCAACTAGTTCTTATTGCTTTCTCTCTTCCATTAAAGTAACTATGTTGTTGTTGTTGTTGTTGTTGTTGTTGTTATTAATAGGTACTATGATGCATACAACACTTACTACGTTGTCATACATTGATCAAAGGGCTTTGCATGGATTATTGCAATTCATCATCATAGCCCAAGGAAGTAGTTATTATCCCCATCTTATTGGTGAAGAAATCGAAGATCAAGAAGTTAAGGAACTCACCCAAAATCACACAAATAGCAGAGTCTGAATGCAGGTCTTGATTTCTATGCAGTCTTAGGTACTCTCAAGGCCTGGGTGTTACTCATTCAAGACATATTTATTAAGCAGCTACTACAGGCAGGCCCTGTGCTAGCACTGGCACTCAAGGATGACCAAGACACAGACCCTGCTTAAGAGAAGCTTGAAGTCTAGTGGGAGCAACAGGGAAGTGACAAAGCCAACTTGCTTCAGTGGACTGTGGAGGGCAAGTATTAGGACTTCAGAAGCACCCAGCCTCATAGGTACACAAAGACTCAGGAGCAGTTGATGTCTCAGCTGAGGCCTGGGCTAAAAGAGCAATGTGTAGGGATGGCGAGAAAGACCCGAAAGTAAGCTCACACAGGGACTCCCATGCTCCAACATCCATAATTTCAGCCGGGGCTACCACAAGAATACTGACGTCAATCCTCAAGATGAGAAACATAGGAGAAGCAGGAGTGAGGGGAACTTGTCTTTAGGCAGACTGAGTTTGAAGTACTTGGGAAACAACTAAGCAAAGCTGTCCAGGAGCCATTCACTGTCAGGAGTCTAGAGAATTGAAGCCCTTACCCTACTTTCCCTGGAGGTTCATACAAATGGAGGCATACTCCAAGCTCTATGAGCCAAAAGTTGGCTTTATTAACAGCTAAGAGAGGACCCAGTAGCCAACTGAATGCAGGGCCTCCTGTGAACCATGCTGAAGAATCCAACTTGAACCTGAGGCCCCTTCTTGCCTTTTACCTGGAAATCTATTGCTTGGAAGGTAATATATGTTCTGTCCCACGTCTAGGCATATAGCCTCCTGCAAGGACCACAGGTATGCAGTGATATCTTGCAGCAGGTAAGCAGAGAGAGGATAACAGTTTCAGGCTCTCTACCTTTCAGTTAGTTGGTTCTCCTCCATCACCAGGTGGACAGAGAAGTGTTTGCTCTACCACTCCATTCCCTGGTGAGATAGCAAAGTTTCCTTGTGGAAATACTTAAGGAGATGATAAATGGATGCTTTTTCAACAGAATGAGGGTTCCAAGCACAGCAAAAGTAACAGAGCATCTTTGTTATTGCCTCATTTTTCTCTTAAACTTATCTAAAAACACAAACAATGGGGTAGGGGTTGAGGAAGCAGCTGTGAGATGTGTCTTAAAATGTTTTTCATTTGCAAATTTACCTTTCTGAAGTTGTATGCAAAGGCCTGGGTTTTCCAGCTCTATATCTGGTAACACACTACTGCATGGTGTTATGTCAGGCTAAATCTGACCATCCATCCCCTAAATTGATCCATCTATCAAGCATTCAGAGGAGCAAATCTCAGGAGGGACCTAGGACACAGGCTTCAGGAAGGTCCCGGAATAAAGCACAACCTTGACAGAGCCAGACATTATCCCAGGAAAAGAGACTGGCAAAGATAACCAGCTTTGTGATAAGAAAAACTAAAGATGAGATTGAAGCATGCGAAAGACCCTCTTTACAATAAGCTTTCCTTCATAAAAGTAGTGTGAGGTTTACGTTAGGCTTGGCATGTGGAAAGTAGAATAAGGTAGGGAGATTTCTTTGCTATTTCTTGAGACTTTTCTAAGTTACCAATTTTGGAAGAATGATAATCCAAGAAAACAGGGGGCCTCAGTGGTTCTCTTCCTCCTCTGTGTATTTGGGGCCAGGGGGAACAACTCTACCACCATGATAATGGCCTTGTCCAAAAGCTTTGGTTTTCTTAACTGAAATCCAGTGACTGATTCTTGTGGGAAAAAAAAGAACAGATATACGGATTATAATTAATATTGCAAATGGCAGTTCTGCCCTCATGGTTCCATGTGTAACAACATGTACCCAGTCAGGATGTCACAAACCAGGAAAATGTACATTTAGCAAAGAGCTCACTGAAATGTGAGCTAAAGGTTCCTTTTAAAAATATGTATCTAACATTATAATATTAATACTTCCTTATTCACAAATAGTAAATATACTTTCATTCTAATTTTGCAATGAAAATCCTGGACTTAGAGAGTGCTACCACTCAGGATGTGGCAAATTGTCCTGGGTCTTGGACCATTCCCATGGTTGATGGCATAATATGATCCCTGCTGAGTTGCCTTCCCAGAAATGAACACAGGTCCAGAGAGACTAAGAATTTCTGTGCATTCATTTATTCAATTACACAGATATCTCTTTAATATCTCTGGTGTGTCAGGGACCATGGTAGGTGCTTGGGACATGAGTAGGAGGAGGTCCACTGTAGTAGGTGCTATGTTGGCCCAACCTGGGTCACCTTTCCCTGGCTG